AATCCACCGAGAATCGTCGTGTTTGTGGTGTGGACGATCTTTCCACAGCAAGCTCCCTAGAGACAAAAGACGTCACACTGTACAGCCAGGCGAGTCCATCTGCTAGAAACAGCGTCTCCGTAAAGATTCACTCCAGCCTCATTGGAAGGGCGCCTACCAGGGGGTACTGACGAACCCCTGTGCCACCAGGTTCCAGGAGACAGACTCCCGGAGTCACACGTGCCGTCTAAAAGAGCGTGAGTGGACCTGCACCCCATCTGGTGACTTAAAGCTAAACATTTTCGAGGACTGAAGCACATGACACTGGAAGAAGACCACCTACCCCAGACGCTCGGGCCCGGCCTGTGGAGCCTCCCCTTTGACGGTATTCGGTATCATTGAGCAACCGAATCCTGCTTCAAGTTGTAGTTGTCCTTTCGCCGGCCTACTCGCCGCCCCCTCCTTTGCCTCTTTGGCTCTTATGTCCAAAATCTGTTGGCCGCCATGATATTTCTCACCTTACAAAAACTCTTTGATCCCACCAACCCTCTGATGGTTGGATTTGCACCGGAGTTAACACTGGTGATAAACCTGAATGGGTGGTCTGGCCATTTTCCTTAGAAGGATGGCAAGAGCTTTCTAGCAGATACGGGGTTTTCTTCTGGTACTTTCGGGGCTGTACGTATTCTCCCTTCTGGCAAATTGGCACCAGCCGTTAAGCATTCCGTTCGGTGCTCCTCACCCATAAAGGGATACCCTTCACTCAAGTCCGTGCGTTTACCCAAGGTCTTTTCTCTATTTCACAAACAGTAATGGGACTGGCAAAACTTGAGGCCGCCTCCCAGTAGACTTGTAACTATACAGTGGTGCGTGACCCAGAAGACTGGGAGTACATTCCCCACTGGAATCTAGAAGACTCCAAGGTCTTCTCTATCAGTGTGTCTGGTGGGGTGTCGAAAATGATAAGGGCACTGGGAATGGGAAGCTGACTGGTCTCCTTTTGGTGGGAACTTCGTTCAGCATGCCTTCTCCCTGGGAGATCCCCAGACCTCCGTCACAACCTCCCCTGCAGCCGTCATACTCACCTGGTAACCCACGTATATTGAAGCTTAAGACGTTCCTATAACCGTCTCCGCGGTGCTAACCAGTTGTCACCTGTTAGTGTGAGTGAGTATGTTTTTAATCACGAGGTCTCTCTCATTCTGGGGAAAAAAACTAATCTAGCAAAAGGGTCCACCTGAGGCCCTGTCTTGAGAAAACACTAGTTATGTTTTTCTATGTGGCAGAAACATATATTCCACACTCCTCCTGGAAAGGATGCTGTGGTGTTATTGCCCCCGTTCCTGATGCCGAAGGCGGGAACACCCTTCCGCCCGCCACTCCCATATCCAATCTGGGTTCTTTCTCCTGTCTTTTCTCTCTCTCTCTCTCTCTCTCTCTCTCTCTCTCTCCCTCTCTCCCTCCCTCCCTCCCTCCCACTGTCTTGAAAGAGCACATGACAACAGGGACGGATACAGTTTCGGGTGGTTGCCCACGAATAGCCCAACAGTGGATAGAGAGGGATTTGGATATGCCTTTGCCTGAGCCTTTCCCTCGGGTGGGACTAGCAGAGCTTACAAAGGCAACTCCGAATCCGTGGTTCTACCTTTGCTGCTCCTTTGAGTGCTTCTGAACATCAACGGACCCAGACAGACAGTCGCAGAAGGTAGTCCTGAGCCGTCTCCCGTAGTAGCAGGGAGGAACCGGTGCCCTGTCTGGGGAAGAATGCTGTTTGTATGTAAACAAATGGGGGAAACAACTGAAGAACTAAAAATAATGAAATGTAGGGGCGCCTGGGTGGCTCAGTCGGTTAAGCGTCCGACTTCGGCTCAGGTCACGATCTCGCGGTCCGTGAGTTCGAGCCCCGCGTCGGGCTCTGTGCTGACAGCTCGGAGCCTGGAGCCTGCTTCGGGTCTGTGTCTCCCTCTCTCTCTGACCTTCCCCCATTCATGCTCTGTCTCTCCCTCTCTCAAAAATAAATAAACATTAAAAAGTTTTTATGGGGGGCGCCTGGGTGGCTCAGTCGGTTAAGCGTCTGACTTCGGCTCAGGTCATGATCTCATGGTCCGTGAGTTCGAACCCCGCGTCGGGCTCTGTGCTGACAGCTTAGAGCCTGGAGCCTATTTCAGATTCTGTGTCTCCCTCTCTTTCTCTGGCCCTCCCCCGTTCATGCTCTGTCTCTCTCTGTCTCAAAAATAAACATTAAAAAAAAAATTTTTTTTTTTAATAAAAAAAAATAATAATGAAATGTAATACCAAACTGTGAACTGGAATAAGCCAGGCCCTAGAGACCTAGGACGTTTTCAGCTTCCTAAATCACGGGCAGCGAGGAACACTGGCTGAGGAGTTTTTCCAGCCAGTAGCCATAATTGGACTTTGGGCCCTGGGTTTAACCCTCTCGCTGAAGTTTGTGCTGCCTCGTATCAGGCAGGGGCCTTCCTCCTAGACGTGTGTACAAACTAGAGTTCTCTTCCTTCCCAAGACTTAGCCTGAAGCTCCACTGGGAGGAACATGGCCGAGATCCCCCATTTCGTGACTTTTTTGTTCACATGTGGCCTGACGCCCTCTGGCCGCGTCCCTCCCGTGAGGACAAACATCTGGGGACGGTCTTCCTGGGTTCTGACGGGCTCCGTCCGCTCACAGCTAAGGACAGCTCTGAACAAGACCCCGTACAGACCAGTTGACCGGCGCTGCCTTCTGTGGCAGAGGCTGATCACAGGGACGCCCGGCAGGATTGTGTCCTTCGATGGGAGCGAAGGTGTCAGGTGGGGAGTCTCACACGTGCGCCCTCAGGAAAGCGGACCCGAGGACCGTCAGGCTGACTTCCTGTAAACGCTTGATTTCCAGAACGTGGAAGTGGTCTCCCCCCAGTGAGTGTCCACCAGGAATCTCTCCCCGTCTTTGAGCCGTCCAGCTTGCTGCATGGCTCCCGACTCGCTTTTCCTCTTTGTCCTCTGCCTGTAAAAGCGGGCGCCCTAGACCTCCGGTGGACTCACCCCTAGCTCTCGAATTACAGTTCCTCTGCTTTTCCCCAGGAGGCTCTCTTTCTGGTTTTGGAACTTGCCTCGGATTGTCTCCTTTCTTTTAGGTTGACAGACCCGAGTCCTCATCGTCCCAGCCGGGAGACCTCGGTCAGGCGGTTCGCCTTCCCAGCCTCATTGTCGTCCCCTACCCGCCGGGGGTGTTCGCTCCCTGGCAGAGTTGGTGTCGGGCGTAAACTGTAGGGAAGTGCCTGTCACCGTGGGGCCCTCGCCACTACACGAGGTGTTGGCACCAGGTGTGTGGTTTGATGGGCAGCTACCGACTCGGGGTCAGGGCTGGAGCCCGTCCGCTGGGCTGGCGGTGCCGCTGCTTCTGGAGAGCAGGCCCCTCCTGGCACTCAGTACGCGTGTGGCCTCCGGGGTGCTAGCGGAGACACCGCCACACGGTGGAGCCACGCTGCGGTGGGTGCCTGCGGGGAGCGAGGTTGGCAGGAGGTGCGGGCGTCCGTTCGTACTGTTCAACCCAGAAATCCTGCTGTTGGCGTGGAAATAAACAACGGGGGCCCCCGGCAGCCACACAGACGACCGCATTCGGACAGACGTTAGCGAAGGCGTGTTGTAGGGAGAGCCGTCAGGACTCCACGGCTGGCACCTGCTAGGTGGGCGCCTCAGCTCTTAGGGTCTGGCATCAGCTGTCACTTTGCAGACTCCCCTGTCCCGAGGTCTGCGCTCGCGGAACGGAAGCTCGGGGCCCCGCGCCGGCTGCGGTGCGCAGGCCGCGGTGCTCACGTAGCGAGCTGCAGGGGGGCGGGGCTGGGAAGCAGGGTCGCAGTGGGTGGCTAGGAACGGCAGGGATTCACATTTGTGTGGGGTGACTGGACTCCACAGAAGGTGGCGGGGACCAGGAAAGGTCTTTAAAAGTCACTGACGTGGGGGCTGTGAGGCGGAGGGCCGTTGTGGCCAGCCCCTGCCGCACCTGTTGAATTCTCTTCCTTCTGCTTTGCATCTGCAAAAGCAAAACCACCTAAGAAAACGCAGTTGAGTTCATTACAAAACGCTTGCAGATCATAAATTCCGGCTATTTTTCTTCAGTACAAAGTGTTCAGTTGCTGTTTTGTTTGAAGCATCGTGACTGAGGGGCTTGGGCTTTGCTCTAGTGCCTGAGAATAAGACGTCGACGGGGCCCGGGCCGTTGACAGGTTGCTGCCCTGGTTCGGAGGGAGGGGGAGGAGGAAGAGGCGGAGGAGAGTATGGGGAGGAGGGAGATGGAGAGGCTCCGAAGTGTGTTTACCGTGTCTGAGATTAAGGAACGTCACCACCTCTCTTTAGCTGTGCATTTAGATAGGGTTTTGAAATTTTATTGAGTTCTTTTTGAGGCATAAACGTCCTGGAACCTAACTTTAATATTTAGAGGTAGAAATTCACCTGATTTGAAGATAACCCTTTTCGTGTGTGTCTTCTGAGAGTGGGATTGGACTGAGAATATTGTATCGTGCTTTTACACAGACAGTGCCACATCTTTAGCGTGGGAGTAAGGGAACATACAGAACAAAGTTTAAAAATCATCCTGTGATTTGGAGCGTGCGAGACAGCGTAAACACCAGTAAATGCTTTGACTGGTTCCAGAATAATTGGCTTAGCATCAACACACGTCCTTGTTGTTAAAGCTTCTTATAGAGAAAAGGCAAATGAGGATTGATCGCTCTTACCCTGAAGTGTGGTCACTGTAGCACCGAAAAGACATTTTTTTGTGAGTAAAATGCGCATACGCTGAAATTGACAGGTCCTTACTGTATGATTTGATGAGTGTGACAAGTGTATGTGTCTAAGAAACCTAAGAAACCAACACCCCACTCACGATCTACAACATTTGCATCGGCCCAGAAAGTTCCCTCCTGGTAGACCCTCACCCCCACAGACGGCCGCTCCGATGGGCACACTGGCGGGAAGTTCTCTGTGAATATTTGATGTTAATTGTTACAACTCTTTTTCAATTCGTAGGAGGTCAGAGCCTTCAGATGGCAGATAACAGGTAAGCCAAGACGGACTTTGTTGGGATTTCTGTTTTGGTTGATGACCACGAGCCAGGCTGCCCGTCCGTGAGCACCAGCGGCAGCTCTGGCTCATGGCTCCTTTTCCCCCTGTATTTGAGCCCATGAAAACTTGCTTCACGCGTGGGAAGTGTCTCAAATACTGATCCTGGGACACCTTTTATGGGAAGTGGTCGTTTTGCTCTCTAGGCCTTCGTGCCTCCCAGGTGAAGTCCTGGCCGCCTGCCTCACGTCGCACGCCCCCTGGTGTTCAAGTGAAGAGTTTTGTTACGTGGCTTGTTCTGGTCTGGTGTGGTGTTTGATGTGGTTTGATTTTGGTAAGGGAGCTGTGTCCAGACGTCTCTGACACCTGTCGCACCCATTTTGGGGAAGTTCCATTGTTTGTGGAGACGTTCTGTGGCCGGCTTACAGAGCCACTGAGGGCACCGTGTCCCAGAAACCCTGTAAGGCAGCTCTCCTCTGACCCCCTTAGCGGCCGACCAAGCTGTAGCGGGATGCTGGTTGGCTCGCGGGGTTGGTTTGAGGGTGGGCCGCAGAGTTTGGGGGAAAGGAACTGGAGAAGAGTAAGCTAAGACGCTTCGGCCAGGGCTGGAAATCAGAGCCGCTGTGTGTGGCATGGAGGTCGGGGGGGGGGGGGGGTTAGATGGTAGGATTTTTTTTTGAGAACAGGAAAGCACCTCGTGGATAACACCTGTGCATCCGTAGCTGTGCTCTGTCCTTGCAGATCCTCTCCTCTAAGTCAGCAAGAGTGCCCCATGTCTGTCTTCTCGAAGTTCCTTGCTAGTGATACTTACTGCACACGCTGTCTTAGTTTTTCAGATGGTGTTCCCTCAGACGCCTTGGAGGCTGCTAAAAATAAACAAGGTACAGGCTCAGCCAGTCCGCAGAAAAGGTGACAGTTGAGAGTTTGTTTGCACAGCAGCTCCCTGCACCTACCCATTTACTGCGATAACAAGCAATACAAGTCCAGGGTTACTGTGCTTCAAAGACGTGGAGGAGTTAGAGTAATTGAAGTGGAAATCGGTACTTCGTTTATTTTATTTTATTTGCTTTGTTATTTTTTATAATATTTATTTATCTTTAAGAGCAAGAGAGACAGAGCATGAGCAGGAGGGCAGAGAGAGGGAGACACAGAATCGAAGCAGGCTCCAGGCTCTGAGCTGTCAGCACAAGCTGACGGGGTCAAACTCACGAACCGTGAGATCATGACCTAAGCTTAAAGTCAGACGCTTTAACTGACTGAGCCACCCAGGCGCCCCTATTTTATTTTTTATTTATTATCTTTTTTATTTATCTTATTTATTTTTATTTTATTTTTTATTTTATTTATTTTATTTTATTTTATTTTATTTTATTTTATTTTATTTTTATTTTTTTAAGTTTATTTATTCTGAGAGAGAGAAAGAGAGTGAGCAGGGAGGGGCAGAGAGAGAGGGAGACAGAAGCTTAAGCAGGCTCTGAGCTGTCAGTGCAGAGTCCGATGTGGGGCTGGAACTCACAGACTGTGAGATCATGACCGGAGCAGAAATCGGGAGTCGGATGCTTAACTGACTGAGCCAGCAGGTGCCCTGAAAATCGGGACTTCATTTCAAACTTACGGTCAGAACTTCAGGCTTTCCAGAAGTGCGGTGACCTGCACAGTGCATCTCTGTGCCTCAGCCGGGGACTGGTCTTCCCATCTGTGTCCTCTCTTCTTTTCCCTGGTTATTCTGGAGCAAACCCCAGACTCCATCATGTCATTCGGTCTGTAAATTCACAGATGGGATTTCTCCTCCATTTTAAAATTTCTGTATCTGTACTTTTTCCCCTTGAACTGTTTGAAAGCAAGTTGTGGACCACCTGACTCTTTTCTCCGAAAACAGTTCCACGTAAATTTCCTGCAAAGCAGGATGCACAATCATCACCACGGTGCCATTGCCACAATGGAGAAATGCGGGGTTGACGGGGCACCACCAGCCGATAGCACAGTCGCGTTCCTGTTTCCCTGGGCTTCTCAGCAGCTCTGTTCCAGCTGCCGCCCGCACCCAAGTCCGAGACTGGCCAGGGGTCATGTCTCCAATTCAGTTCCGTCTCCTTCGTTCTAGAACCGCCCTCCACGTGATGACACATCAGTGGGCTGCGTGCCCCGGCTGTCGTGTAGAACGTCCACACTCTGGGTGGGTCAGGCGGTTTCCTCCCCGTCACACTCAGACTGCCACACCGGGGACATGGTGTGGGAGGGGCACTGGGGCTGCGCCCGGGGTCAGTGCTGAAATTGAGGACTTGGTTACGTCAGCGCCTGGCAGCTTTCCCCGTTGGGAGGGTCCGGTCAGTGAGTGACCTGTTGCTTATCCTGCGGGCACCCTATTTTCCATGAGTTGTGGTCGTGATCCTTTAATCAGGATTGACATTGGTGGTCGCAGCAAGGCGTTTCTCTAAGACGGTCCTGCTGTGTATTACATCTGTCAAAGACAGTCGGGGCGCCTGGTGGCTCAGGCGGTTAAACGACTGCCTTGATCTCAGCTCAGGTCGTGATCTCGCAGTTTGTGAGATCAAGCCCCACACCGGGCTCTGCACTGATAGCAGGAGCCTGCTTGGGATTCTCTCTCTCCCTCTTTCTCTGCTCCTCCCTGGCTCGTTCGCTCTCTCTCTTTGGAAATAAACACTAGGAAGAAAAAAGACCGGCTTTCCTTCCCTACTCTCCCAACCCCCATTTTAGTGTTACTGTAGGCTCCTCGATTTCTGTTCCCGTGTCTTATCAGTTGCCATCATTCTTTCTGGTATGCACGTTGTCGCGCATTGCCAGTGGAGTTCCTTTCTAGCTGGCTTCCGTGGCCTTCTGTTATGTCCCCATCAGCTTGTGCGCTAGGTGATGATCCGTGTGTCCTCGTACTTCCCTTGCTCCAGACCTGGAATCTACCATTTGTCCCAGGGGCCCTGTTTTGGTAGGGAGATACATTTTAAAACCAGAACTCGGGCACCAGAGAGGCCTGGTCAGTTAATCACCTGACGTTGGCTCGGGTCGTGATCTCCCGGTTCGTGCATTTGGGCCCCGCGTTGGGCTCTGTGCTGACAGCTTGGAGCCAGGAGCCTGCTTCGGATTCTCTCCCTCTGCCCCTCCCTTGCTTGTGCTTTTTCTCTCAAAAATAAATAAATATGAACATAAAAAACCAGAACATAGATGCTAACTGTCATTGTTTCTAGGCCTTTCAGTGGCCAGAGCTAGAGGACACGTGTGTTTGTGTATATGCACGTAGCATTTATGCATTGTACACGTATATAGTGTTACATTACACAGTTACATAGATTAAATACACATACACACTGTTTCATGGTGGCAGTTCTTTGTAATTAAAATGTTGAAATCCAGTTGCCTACTTAGTGTCCTTTGCTTGCCCACATCACTTGCTTACAAGAAGAGGGGCACCTGGCTGGCTCAGTGGGTGGAGCTTGCGACGCTTGACCTCGGGGTTGTGAGATCGAGCCCCGTGTTAGGAGTAGAGGTCACTTGAAAATCTTAAAAAAAAAGAGTGAGGGAGCAGAGAGAGCTCCCAGGTATGGACTACCTTTGGAGTCAGGTGAGTGTGCTACGTAGGTTCCTGTAGAGTGTCAGTAAGAGGGCATTGGCTCAGCAGATGCTGAGAGTCTGCACCGGGGGCCAGATGATGTGCCCACTCTGTGGTTACAGTTGAGCCAGAGACACTTCCTTCCTCCTCAATGTCTTGCTTCTTGGTTGGGAAATAGTACAAATGTTGTGTGAGCTGAAAGGGCAGTGTGGTGGACGAGGCCGGTGAGTTTTAGGAGGACGGGCAGGGATTGCTATGTGGTGGGGGTGGGTCTGGGCAGGGCAGCGTAGGTGAAGGTGGGGACCCGCAACGCTTGGATGTCTGGACGCTCCAGGAGCCGGCCGGGGCTGTGAGCCAGACTGCAGGTGCACGCTGGTTTTCTCTGAGGGACAGTTGCCTCATCCTTGTCCTTGGCCTCTGGGTCCCCTCAGGATGGCGGGGCGGCAGGAGATAGGCATTCCTCCGTTGGGAAATGACTCTGTCCTCTTTTGGGAGATCTGGGGCTTAGACAGCTAAAGTGAGTACCAGAAATCTCCAGGTACCTTTCAGTGGGTTTCTAACCACTCAGGTAGTTAACAGAGGCTATCCAACGCCTTTAAAATACATAGTGAGTATTTTCAAAACATGTGCTTCAGCTTCTTGCTACATTTAGAAATTAAATAAACGTGGGGGCGCCTGGGTGGCTCAGTCGGTTGGGCGTCCGACTTCGGCTCGGGTCGTGATCTCGCAGTCTGTGGGTTCGAGCCCCGCGTCGGGCTCTGTGCTGACAGCTCGGAGCCTGGAGCTGCTTCGGATTCTGTGTCTCCCCCTGTCTCTGCCCCTCCCCCGCTCATGCCCTGTGTCTCCCTGTCTCTCAATAAGTAAAAATCTATTTAAAAAAAAAATTAGAAATTAAATAAACAAAGCTAAGTAGGTGTGTGTTGATGAGTTTTAACTCTTGGCTCTTCTGTGGTGGGCATATTCTCAATCCTTTGGCCTTGTTTTTACCTCTTACTAGAAGAGCTCACCGACCAGGTGATGCAGAACCCTCAAGTTTTGGCAGCTCTACAGGAACGGCTTGACAATGTCTCCCACACTCCTTCCAGTTACATTGAGACGTGAGTATGCTGTGCGTGGGCCCCTGGTGCAACTTCAAGAAAGGGAAAAAGACCGATTTCCTGGTTCCTTACACTGGGAGTAAATGTCTTTCCCATCGAGCAGACTTTGGGGGCTGGGAGCCGGGCTCCGGCTTCCAGAGAGGAGCGCCTGGGCTCAGCGTGTGCTAGAAACGCAGGCCTGTAGCGGGTGGTGCGGCTCGGGGGCTGGGGGGCCACCTGGGCCCACGGGCCAGGCTCAGGGCGGGGCGCGGTCTCTCCCCGCTGCCCGCAGATGGACGTAGTGACACTGCCTGGGAGAAGGAGACTTGAGGGCGCTGACGGTCTCTAGCTTTCTGGCTAGACTCCGGGCGAGTGGGCTGGCGCTCATGGGGAGGAAATGCCGGGGGAGGAACAGGGTTCCGTGGAATGCAGTTATTTCCACGTTGGCCGCACTGCACGGACAGTGCCTGCGGGGGAGACTCTGGAGTTAATGTAACCAGTCGGAGGACAAGTGGATGTAGGCTGTCAGGGTCCGGTTTGCTTAGAATCTTTTGTTATTTTTACTCCATTAGGAGGATTTGGAAAGCTAAAAATAATTGTAATTGTGTGATTAATGCAGAAAAGAGGGGCGCCTGGGTGGCTCAGTCGGTTGAGCGTCTGACTTTGGCTCAGGTCACGATCTCGCGGTTTGTGAGTTTGAGCCCCACATCGGGCTCTGTGCTGACAGCTCGGAGCCTGGAGCCTTCTTCCGCTTCCGCCTCTGTCTCTCTGCCCCTCCCCTGCTCGTTCTCGGTCTCTCTCTCAAATACAAAATTAAAAACAAAATTTTAAAGATGTTTTTATATAAAAACATTGTGCATTTTTTAAAATGCACAAAAGAAATAACAGGTGTTTATGTATGTGCTGTTTCATTACGTCCTCACTGTGCCTCCTCTTTGCTGTCCTGCCAGCAGAAGGTCCTAGAAGGGGGACTGGATTTATGAGGCTTGCTAAAGGACCTTTACCTTGAGGTGGCCGGGGTCCTTTGTGATTTAAGGCTGTTCCGGTACTTTCTAAACAGTGCTGTGCATAGGAGCAGCTGGGACTGTTGTTGAAGGAAGGTTAGTTCCTTCTGTGCCTTTCTGGAGGAAGGCTGTGGTGTCCAGGCTAGTGCCAGCCCCGCCTTGAGGGCCCAGCCCAGGTGGTGGACACTGTCCAGGGGGCCGTGTGGGTCTGGGATGAGGCCCAGAGACCTGCTCTTTGTTCCAGATGGGGACCGAGAGCCTCAGGTTAAACTTCATTCTGATGGGTTGAAAGGGTTTTGTTGTTTTTTTTTTTTTAATCTGTTTATAAAAGTAATGCATACAAACAAACATTTTTAGAGTATAGAAAAGTGTCAGGAGGCAAAGAAGCTCAAAGTTACCTGACTCTGGAAGGGAACAGGCCCCATTTGTCCGTGTCATGTCTGGTATCTCCCTCGGTGTGTGAGTGTGAACGCTTCTCTTGGTGCTGAATATTGTGTGAAAATGTGATTGTGGACACGCTGTGTTTTAGCCCTGCTCAGCTTGTCCTTATTTTCATTATTTTTAACTTTGACAAATAATGTCTCAGCGGACCTATCAGCACATAAATATTTGGTTATTTCCTTAGGGTAAATTTTTGCAAATAGAGTTACTGGATCCAAGGAACATTCCGTAACATTCAGGTTCTGGTTTGCCTTTCAGGCTTCTCAAACCCAGGAGTCGTTTGTTTTGTTTTTGTTTTTGTTTTTGATGGCTAATTAGGTAAGGAAAAGGCAGCGGTTCTTGTAAATCAATGTTCTTCCAGATATTTCGTGGGATTGAACCTGTCTTCCACGTTTGATTATTTGTATTTTTTCTTTGTTGATTAGTTGTCCGCTTCTGCCCACCCCTCCACCTTTCTTTGCCGTGGGGATGTTTGTCCTTTTAACGGTGTTTAGGAGCCCTTTTCTGTAGTAAGGATGTTAATTCTGTGGTAAGCTACGTTTATCTTAAGAAAATTGAAAAGCATTCTGCCTTCTTTTGCAGCCATAAGGATGTTTTACTTTTTATCTCGTGTCAGTTTACCCAAAGCGGTGAAGAGAAGAATCAATGCGTTGAAACAGCTGCAGGTGAAGTGTGCTCACATAGAGGCCAAGTTCTACGAGGAGGTGCATGACCTGGAGAGGAAGTATGCCGCACTGTACCAGCCTCTCTTTGACAAGGTGGGCGGCTTGCGCGGACATTTCACTCACGGATTTCAAATCTAAGTTGAAGTAAAACATCCACGTGTACCTAGTGATGAATCCTTGAATGTTCCTCTTTAAGCCCTAAAACTCAGAGTCTTGTTTTGTTTTTTTTTTTAATGTTTATTTATTTTGAGAGAGAGAGAGAGAGAGAGAGACAGCAGGAAAGGGGCAGAGAGGCAGAGGAGGAAGAGAGAGAATCCCAAGCAGGCTTCCTCGCTGACAACACAGAGCCTAATGTGGGGCTCGAACCCACAAACCATGAGATCGTGACCTGAGCCCAAACCAAGAGCCGGACTCCACTCAACCAACTGAGCCACCCTCCCTCCCCACCCCCCGCCTAGGCTCCCCTAGAATCTTAAGTTATAAAAGCATTCGGTTTTTTCAAAGATGTTATTTGCAAACTTAACTCTTGAGTTCCTGGATAACTTACTATAGCTCTAAGAAGGTCTCACTTTTACTTAAAGAGAAGGGAGTTCATCACTGGTGATGTTGAACCGACAGACGCGGAATCAGAGTGGCACAGTGAGAACGAAGAGGAGGATAAGCTGGCCGTGAGTATTTTTTTAACGACTGCAACTTGTGTTCTGTTGTTTCAGTGCAGTTAGAAATAAGCAACCTCTTGGAACAGGTTTCAGTCCTCGGTGTAACATCACCAAGGAAGGAGCTCCTCCCAGTAGGTGCGAATTCACTCTTAGGTTGGCTGTTTGGATGTCTCTGTGGCGGGGAGCACCGGGCGGCCAGCAGGGCTGGCAGCAGTTAAAACTGCGAACCAGACACGTCTCCCTTCTCCGTCTGGTCGTGGAAGCCACTCGGTACAGCAGTGCACTGAGCCGTGGGGTCGGATGGACAGGACTCAAAACATCAGCAAAGTCTCGGTCAAGAGAAAGGCACAGTCCCATGAGAGGAGGGGACACCCGCGTCAGCGGTCACTACGAGGTCAGGGTTGTGAGGAGGGGGTGGTGGATGTCTGTGCCGCCCTGCTCGGGGCCCAGCAGCGACCCCGGAGCAGTCGCAGTGTGCCCGGGAGCTTTAGATCTGCGGACAGCCTTCCAGGATTGGTCCCATTCCAGTGCGACCGGAAGTTCCGCCTGATTTTGTTTGGGAGACCAGTGTCTTCTATCCTCCAGTATTAGTTCTCAGGGAATTGTTTTGAAGCGTGTGATAGTCTCAATAGCCTTAGAACCCGGCCTGGTTGAAGCAATGGCTACAGACGAGTATAGTTGTGAATCGCTTCCTTATTGCTCAAGGAAAATCTTCTGTAAATTTAAAAAGCCCCTCACGAGCGTTTTCACGCGAGAATCCCGTGTGAGGAGACGTTTGCACTTTCCAGTGGCTCCGTTTGGTGTTGTCCTTGACCTCCCTGGGCCCGCCCTCTCCTGGGCCCGCCCTCTCCTGGGCTTTGATGTTAGAAAAGCCTCCCGCCACCCCCCCGGGTTGCACGTAGCCTGTCCGGTCACCTCCCTGATGTTTGCGTGGAGTTTCTGTCCCGATGTTAATAGTCACCTCCTTATCGTTTGGGGTAGACACTGCTTGGCTGTTTCTTGTTGCCGAGGGGACGGGGTCTCTCTCCGGTGGTGGGTGGTTGTCCCAAGACGGACGTCTCCTAGAGCTGGTGCTGGACAGCCTTTCCTGAATTTGCTGGTGCTGTGCCATGCTGTAAAATTGTATCATGGAAATCCATCCGATGGAATGCCTTGAATGTTTTGTTCCTTAGAAACGTTTAAAAGTGTGACCTGCTCAGTGGTCTTGGGGACGCGGGTTCCAAGAACAGCTTCTGAGAGAAGTTTGTGCAGGGTTCTGAAACTTCCGTCGTGCACTGAACCGTTGAATTCTTTGTAACTTTGTTGCTTTGCGGTAAGTGCTCTCTGTCCCATCTTTGCTTTTTTAGGGAGACGTGAAAAGTAAAGTAGTCATCGCGGAAAAGGAAGTCGCGACAGCAGAGGAGCCAAACCCCAAAGGAATCCCAGAGTTCTGGTTCACCATCTTTAGAAATGTAGATATGCTGAGTGAATTAGTCCAGGTGAGCAGATGTCCACGTCGCAGAGAGCTCCTCTTCTAAAAGCTGCTCACTTGTGAACCATCTGAGCGTTTAGTGGTTGGTCGTGGTGGGCGGAAAGGCCCTTTCTGTGACCAGCGGAGGGGGGCGGAGGGTGTCACTGCTGCAACGACCCCCACCCCCCCACCCCCGCCTCCACTGCGGTGCTGCCGGAAAGGCCTACGGCTCTGGGGCTGAGCCGAGACCTGGAGTACCAGCCTTCTCCCCTCCG